CCCCAGGGCCGCGCTCACCCCTCGCCGCCCCCAGACGAGCAGGCGAAGGCGGTGTCCTGCCACGCCAAGTCCTACTGCGGCACGTTCACGTGCGAGTGGAGAGCGCTGGAGAACGCCTTCTTCCGCGGCCGCATCTTCCGCAGGTGGGTGCCCCCTGCCCCTGCCCCACGCCCGGGGCTGCCCCCGTCCCTGCCCCCGCCCTGGTGCCCACGCCGGCTGTGCTGTGCCCACAGCGGCGAGCGCCCCGGGGCCTGGCAGCACACGGGCCTGGAGCAGCGGGGCCCGGTCGCCATGGACTTCGCGGAGCCCGGCTTCTGCCCCTTCGCCGAGGAGACGCAGCCGCTGGTGCTGGAGCTGCAGGCGCTGACGAGGCACCACTTATTCGAGGACTTCAGGCTGCGCCTCTTCCTGCGTGATATCGGTGCGTCCCCGAGCTCCCCCCGCCCCCCGTACCCGCAGTGCCCGGCTGACAGCCCCGCTCTGCCCGCAGTGCGCCCCGAGCCCCCGCACAACGTGTCGGCGCGGCGCGAGGGGCAGCAGCTGCACCTGGCCTGGGCCCCGCCGGCCTCCTGGAGCCGCCCGCACTCCTACTTCACCCTGCGCTACCGCCTGCAGTACAAGCGCCACGACGGCTCCACGGTGAGCGCCCCCGGCCCAGGGCCACCCCGGGGCGACTATCTAGGCCTGCGGTGGTCCCCCTCCCCGCACTGCCCCCGCAAGAGCAGGCCCGGGCTGTGCCCACACTGACCCCATGCCACCCCACAGGGCACCCTGCAGCTGGAGGGGGTGCAGGAGACGCAGCTGGCGGGGGCCGTGCGCCAGGTGCGCCTCAGCTGCCAGGACCCCTTCGCCAACTCCAGCTGGAGCGCCTGGACGCCCTGGAAGGACGTGTGACCCCTGCCCCGCGCCGCCCGAGCCCCGCAGACCCGCACCAGGCCGCGGGCACCGGGTCCTAGCCTGGGAGCGGCCCCGGCCCTGCTCCAGCCCCCACAATAAAGAGTTAGCCCCACAGCTGCAGCCGGTGTCTTGCTGCGGGCGGAGGCGGGCAAGAGGGCCTGGCGGGGCCTGGTCCCTGCCCTGGAGCAGCCCTGACGCTGCAGCGACGGGGCCAGAGCCGGGGCATCTGTCACCGAGCCCCCAGCCGCCCCAGCCACTGGCTCTCGCCCCTGGGCACGGGGTCCCCGTCTGGGCAGGCAACCCCGGCCCCAGCCCAGGGACCCACCTCGCCCGGCCCAGCTGGGGTGGGAGCAGGGCGCACACGGCCTGGGTGAGAACCGGCCTGGCGGGAGCTGGACCAGAGCCGCCCCAGCCCCCAGTCATCAGCAAGAGGCTCAGGGTCAGGGTAACACAAGGGGTTTTATTGAGCCGGACACGGAGGGGGGCAGCCAGCCCTGGGTCCTGCTGGGCACACGGGGGGCAGGAGGGCCTGGCCTGCCCCCTGCTCCTCACGCCTGCTCCCCGGGGACAGCAGCGAGGGGCTGAGCCCCCCGCAGGCGCTGGGCCTGCCGCACAGGGCAGGGCCTGAGCAGGATCGGGGGAGGGGCAGCTCCTGCTCCCCCGGGGCGCACGGGGGGCAGCGCTGCCCCCAGCCCGTGCAGTGGGGCAGCCCAGGCCAAACCACAGGCGCGGAGGGGGCTGCGACTCCCCCGGGCTGGGGAGCGCCTCGGGGGGACCGTGCTTGCGGCTTCACCCACCGGGCACCGGCGGGGGCAGGCGGTCGGCTTGCGGTTATCGCCGGGGGCGCCGGGGCTTCGCTTGTGGGGGCCCTGCCCTCGCAGGCTGCAGTGGGGCAGGGAGGCCGTGCCGAGGGCGGCGGGGG